GCATTATCTACAACTGAAGCTGAGTACATGACAGTAGCTGAAGCTGCTAAAGAAGCCTTATGGCTTGCTGGGCTAGTAAAGGAACTGGGCGTTGAGCAAGGTGGAGTTCGGTTGCATTGTGACAGTCAGAGTGCTATTTATCTGGCTAAGAACCAGGTGTACCATGCGAGAACCAAACACATTGGTGTCGGGTATCACAAGATCAGAGAGTTGATTGCTTCTGGGAAGATACTGTTGCAGAAGGTTCATACTGATGAGAATGCAGCTGATATGTTGACCAAGCCAGTTACTATCAACAAGTTCTTGCATTACTTGGACTTGTTGAATGTTTACAGTTGCTAGAGAAGCATGGTGGCCCAACCGACAGTGGTGTAGTTGTAACTCCCAGGTATTTTTCTCCTAAGGGGCTGGATATTCGCCAAGGTGGAGATTTGTTATGGTATGACTCATATACCATATCGGGACAGACGCTAGATCGAAGCGGAGCAGAGCAGAGCGGAAGAATCTGTCCAAATTGGGAAGTTACGTGGGTTGGGGTGCAGGGGCAAAGCCCCGCGGTATGGTACAGGGGTAATGTTGTAATGTTGGGGTGCGGGGGCAAAGCCCCGCGGTATGGTACAAGGGTAATATTGTAATTACATATTGTGCCTAAGGTTTACTCTTGGGGTTATAAATAGGTCTGTTAGTAACCCCAGGAGGTATCCCTGATTTCTGTAAACTCTTTTCTGAATATTGAAAGGAACTCGTTGCTCTGCTCCCGAGGACGTAGGCATCTTTGTCGAACCTCGTTAAATCTCTGTGTTCTTCTAGATAATTGTCGATTACTGTTTTTCTTCGCCCTAATTTTCTCAACAATATTTATCGTTTTTTTTTAACTGATTAAACTTGAGTTGGTTCTATACTTCCTTATCTCAACACCACATTTGAATTTTAAATGAGTAAGAGTAACAATGGAATAAGCAATTTTTTGTTGAAAAGTACATAAAAAAAACAATTTTAAGTTTAAAACTCTTTAGTTTCATTGTATCCAAGCAATTGTGCATTTTTTCCATCATTCTTTCAGCTAAAATAGTAGGATTTCTTTTTTTGACATTTTCTATTATTTATGAACCTAATCTTATACTTTAGAGGGGCCCAAAGACAAAAGGATTCCAGGAAAACATTTGGTGTCCACATCAAAAATAGCAAGTGGGGAGTTGTTCTGTGGCCTAATTAACTATTTCTATTATACGCCCATTCTAAAGTGAATCCATGGCACGTATCAATCATCAAAGTATAAGAAAATGTTAGTGGCATGCACTTGCCACAAGCATCTTATGTGGTTCTCGAACTCACAAAAATATAACATGTGTTCATACTTTGATAGTGTAACTAGTCATGTGCTTGAGAAGCAAGAATTACAAGGAGTGGGGTGTATTTCACATAAATGGTATGTGCTTATGTTTTAGGAGAGAGAGAGAAGGGCCCACACATCTCTTCTTAAGTAGGGACTCAATGCACTTTTAAAACCACTTTAAAAAGTAGAGAATGCTTAAACTTTAGACATTCCATCATAATGACTATTGCAACTTTTTATATAAGAGTTTGCCGCCAAATAACAAATTGGGATGCTCACACTCATGACTATGCTTTTGAGTGTGGTGTAGGCCAAGGCCAAGGCCAACCATACTGTGTCTTTTCTGTAGTTTTTATAATTATTTTTTTGTGCTTTTTTATCTATTGATGCAAAATACTTAGGATAGTTGATGATAATTCTACAATGTTCTGATATTGTAGAATTTCAATTTTTCATTTTTCAATGGAAGATATGAGATTGGCTGGTGTAATAATCAATGTGAACACCGCAGCATTGATTAATCAATACCTGCGGCTGTGAGACAATTGATTCTGACTTCTTAAAAGCGATTACTTTTATTTACTTACTAAAATCCCCTTTCGGACAAAAGTTCCCACGTCAACTTTCACTTTATGGAAGGCTCCTGGTTATTCCCAGACAAAAACCAGAAGAAATATGTAAGCATTAACATACATACCACCCAATTTCTATGTATTTACGTAAAAATTAAAATTCAGGTGTTCCGCAGGCAAATAAATAAGAATTGATTGGTATGTATATAAATCTTTCAAAAATATGTGGTTTGGTAATAACTGGGCTAACTATTATCGGGTCTAACTTTTTTTTTTTTTTTTTTTTTTTTAATGTTTCTTCTTTGAGAGGAAATACACAAACTGCATATAAATATTTCGATAATTCTTTTATTATTGATACGCCACTAACAAATTTTCATCATCGTGCACCAATCTCGAGATATGACACGGTTTTCAGATGATATTTTGAACAAAAACGTTCAAATATTGATAAAACTTCATCTAGAGCTCTGATTTCAACAAAGTTATAATCAAACTGACCGGCTCGATGAGATAGACGTAATAATATAAAAAACAGTCTAATTTGAGTCAAATCAAGCTCATATTAAGTCATTAAACAATTCTTGGAAGATTTCCGAACACATTTGGAAGGTCAAACAGATGTCGACATTAGCAAACCTATACTCGAATCGAGCGTCTCGACAAGACAAATCCAACAAACCTAAAATCACTTAATTCTGACATCTTTAAGGCACTCGAATGTCCATTAAACACCACATGATCGAAGGAAACTCTCTGGATCGTCCGATCAAAATGGTTGATATTACTGCATTAATTCCACCTAGAATACTATAAATAGACCCCCACTCTTCACATGAGGGGAAGCTGAAGTCTAGAGAGAGAGCCTGAGGTCTTAAGGAGAAGTTGTAGCTCAACATTACCGCCGATTGTCGTCGACCACAGCGGGTCGACCCTCACCGACCACCAGCGACCACCGCCAACCTCCGACGACCATCGCCGACCGTTGTCGACCACCGCTTACCGTCGTCGACCTCCGTCAACCATCATCGACCACCATTAACCACCATCGTTCACCATCAATCAGACGCCGTCAGTCGACGTTCTAATCTGAAAAATATAGTTACTATTCCCGTCTGTGGGACAAGGATTTCTGTAATCATAAATAAATACTGGAATTCCGCAATTGGGCCAGACCCCGTGGTTTTTCCCTTATGGGTTTTCCACGTTAAAACTTCTGGAATCATCACTGTTTGATTCTCTTTCATCTCTGTGTGTGCTAAATTCTTGTACAATACTAAAACAATAATTTATTACTCTACCGCCACGAATTTTCTAGCACACATCAAGTATAACAGAAGACATAATTCAGTACATTAATAATACTAATATTGTATATTATCATTTCAATTAGGATTAAGCAAATTAATAATTGCTACTTGCTGATAATTAAAAAAAAAAATCAGAAGACACCAAACGAAACATGCGTGAGATAAAAAACATTATGACATTGAATGCTACACATAATTATTTAACTTCATATTTTGAGTTATAAATAAAACCTTATTCAATTATTCAGAGCCGAAGGAATAAAATAGTTTGAGTTTTTATTCCGTTGATGCTGCACGGTTTTTTTTTTATTACACAAGTTTATCCAATTTACGCTTACAACCTGCTGACACAATAATTAGTAGGGGCAACTTTACATACATACCACCCGATTCCTATATATTTACATATCTAGAACCTAAAGCTCTGTTTTTTCCATTTATACCACCCAAATCATTCATTTCAATACAAAAATAACACAGTTTTCATTTTAGAAAAAGTGAAATGCACATTTTTATGCAGAGGTAAAGTGGCATTTATGTAAGGATTGAAATTTAGGTGTGAATTTTTATGCAGAGGTAAAGTGGCATTTATGTAAGAATTGAAAT